ACATGAATAGGCATGATTGACATATTGATTAAAAATTAATGAATGAAAAATATTTTGAAGTGTTTTCTAAACTGTGTAAAACATGATTTATCCATGCTTCTAGTACTCATTTATACAGGATATTAAAAGACAAACAGATGTCACATAAAAATGAACTTCAAAGTTTTGAGTCCTCCCTTATATCCTTTTTACTTGACTGTTTTATGATCATATTTTCATTTATACACTATAAAATAATATTTTATCTAATTTTATTATGTGTTAAAGAGTTTAAATATTTTGAAAGTATCTACAAAGGAATACTCAACATCTAGAAGATTTTAATGGCTCTTATATATCCTGTGAATTTATTTTCATAGCAAATATAGCATGACCATCATAATTTACCACTAAGTTTGACTGTTAAATTATGTGGTTTGACCCGTATTTTTAGCGGTCAAAATTAATAGTGAATGGCGGTTCAGGACATAAGTACTATGAAACAAAAGTTCCTGACTATATTAGATCCCAAAAAAATACTTTTAAGCACTGGGTGCTTATTTATGGATACTTTTAAAGTATTTAAAGACCTTAACCATTTTATTATTATCGAAATATGGATATCCAATAACACCACATTAGTTTATTCCCAATTTTGATTCACTTTCAATTAATATGCATTTATGCATAACCAAATATTATTACCCCTCCCTTCCTATTTATAAGAGACACTTCTTTGAAAGGGCATATTTCTTTTATAGGAGGCACTTTGGATATATTTAGACATTTAATGCATTTTTTTATATTTACTCTTAATTAATTACATGTCTCTTTTGTCTTTTCTCCTAACTCATTTTTTGTTATCTCTTTTTCCACCCATCTTCTCTCCCACCCAAAATTTTCATAAATAAGGTGTTTTTAAAATAAATTGCATTTTTTTACATATTTAATGTTTCTAACTAATTTTAACTAACTTTTTGATCAATGTGATTCAGTTAATCATTTCTTATTAAAAAGAACCAAGGGAGCATTAGTTATTAGCACTATTACTAGTTACAGATTTTTTTTATTAGCGGTATTCCCTCTGTCCTTCATTATAAGAAACTACCAAAATTATAGATTTCAAAATGTTAGCTAAATTTAGTTTAAAAATAATAAATATGTAAGATATATACATATTTTTCAAATTATACCCCTTTGTACAAAGACTTGATGAGAAATAATGAGTAAAAATTTATTGTAGAGAGATAATAAATGACGTATATTTAATGGGGCTAAAAATAAAAAAAAATCCCTCCATCTTTTATTATAAAAAACTACTGAAATTACGAAATTCAAAATGTTAGCTAAATTTAGTTTAAAATAATAAATGTGTAAGATATATACATATTTTTCAAATTATATCCCTTTGTACAAGGAGTTGATGAGAAATAATGAGTAAAAATTTATTGTAGAGAGATAATAAATGACGTATATTTAATGGGGCTAAAAATAAAAATAATATTCCCTTTGTCTTTTATTATAAGAAACTACTAAAATTAAGAAATTCAAAATGTTAGTTAAATTTAGTTAAAAATAATAAATGTGTAAGATATATACATATTTTTCAAAAGGAAAATTAATATGGCAGTCCTTGTAATTTTATTAGATTTTGATTTAGATCATTATAGTTTTTTTTTCCTTATGACTGAATCGTTATTTTTTGTTCTATTAATAGCATAAGTCCTTCTGTTAACTTAGCCATTAGTTTAAAGTTCACATCGTCTCTTCAAACCATGGTTTGGGAAAGAAGTCAGCCAAATAGAGGGAAAAATGTGAAACCATAGTTTGGGGTAAAACCATGGTTTTGAACCCCAAAACCATGATTTCGATAGAAGTGGTTTAAAGTTGCTTCTGGCTCAAATTTTTCAGACATTGGTATGGACCCAACAACATATGACAAAATAGCCCCCATAATTGATGCCTCACTCTTCATTCCACACTCAGTTCTTTACTATTTAATCTTATAGTTTATAAATATATATACATATTAATTATTTATTAATTATATTATCTTATATATTATTAATTATGTTAGTAAAAATTATTTTATTAATAATTTCATTTCTTCAAATCAAAATATATTATCAAATCTATCCTTTATATAATTATTATATTAATTTATGTCTTTTTTAGTAATTTGCACATATAAAAAGTGCTTTTAATAACAGCTATCCAAACACTCTCACTTCTTAGAATCACTTTTTGATAAAATCTATTCTTCACAAAATCTATTCTTCCCAAAATCTATTCTCCAGAAGCTATTCTCTTTCGATGCACTATCTCCGCTCCGAGCTTCTCTCTCTCCCCCCTCTGCCCGTTCATATCCCCTCCCCCTCCTCACCATCGTCTTCTTTTATTTGCTCTTTCAATTTCTCTCTCTCCTCTCCCACCTTTTCTTCATATCTCTCTCCCCACCATTATCTTCTTTATCTCCTCTTGCAAAAGCTTTACTCTTAAATTGCAAACATTTCCTTCTCACAGATGTAATAGTATCCTCCACTTTCTTCATTCTTGCTACACATATGGTGAATAGAATTTTCATGGAAAAGGGAAAAAAACATAGCACCACAGAGTAACAGAGTCTGATGTAGCTGGCGCTTATATATTTTGTTGACATTGACAAATTAATTCCAAGACGCATTGTGGATCACTGAGGGTCATACAAAATATCCATATATACTCCTTCGCTCCTTAATATAGGACTCAATTGTTGAGTTGGTTTTGATCCTAAATATATGACACATTTCTCATATTTATCAATTTTTTCTAAATTACCCCTATAGATACTTCCTCAACCATAATCAAGTAGAAAAGGAAAAGAAGGTATTAAGAAAGATGATTATGATATTTTAGAAAAAATGTCTTACATTTTTTATAATTAACCAACTTACATAACTTTTTTAATCTAATCAAATTAGTTAAATGAGTCTTATATTAAGAATCGGAGGAGTAATATCTTTGACCGAGATTTTCTATATGAAAAGTGCTATGTGACTTCCATTCAATCTTGATGAACTCGGCTCCAATTTCATTCTATAAACTCAACAATATAGTACAAGACATTATACTTTAGTGTTCACTTTTATTCCCCCTCTGGTCGAAAATGCAGCAAAAAAAAATAAGTTCTTTAAGAGTTTGCTTAAAAGTGTGTGTATATTACTGCAAGAGGACTACAAGAAGAAGATGAGAAAGAATATGAAGTAACGATGAGAGAAGTGATAGAGAAACTGAGAGAGGAGATAAAGAAGATGATGGCGGGGAGAGAAGGGATATGAATGGGGAGAGTGGAGAGAGAGAGAAGCTAGACAGTGCATCCAAGAGGGGGAGAGAGAAAAGAAGACGGTGTTAATTTAAACTAACAGTTAAATTAACAGAAGGACTTACATTGTTAAGAGAACAAATAATAGGGATTGAATAAAAGAAAAAAAAACTACAAGTATCTAATTCAAAATTTAATAAAATTATAAGGACTGCCATATTATTTTTTCTTTTTCAAATTATACCCTTTGTACAAAAAATTAATGAGAAATAACAAGTAAAAATTTATTATAGAGAGATAATAAATGACGCATATTTAATAAGGTTAAAAATAAAAATATTACTTTAAAATTTTAAATAAAGAGAATTTATTTCTTATATATTTAAGAACATGAGAAAAATTATTTGTTATAAAAAGAGATGAAAGGAGTGATAAGTAAGCAACAAAGTTAAAAAAACGTGAATTTCAATTTTGTTATAACCCATTAATCATAAATAATCTATTTATTTTAATATTTCTATAATCACGTCTTGAATTATAATTTTTTCTCGATTCCAGTGAGTCTCCAAACCACCATTTATCTTTTGATTCTATGCATGGGAACCAAAAAATTGTGAAAGAACAAATTTTTATTTCAGTAAATGCGAAATATAAAAATTGAGGAACCTATGATCAAAAAAATTGAGTTATACCAAAAAAAAAATTTGAGGAACCAAAGAAAAATGGAAAAAGAGGCCGGAGGGTCCAGTTGTAACGTGAAATGTAAGACATTACTCCCTCCGTTTCTTATTATAAGAGACAAATAACTAAATTACGTTGATAAAAAAAACAGTTAAAATTAGTTGAGGACAATTAATGTGTAAAAAGTATAATGTTTTTTTCCAACAATACCCCTATTAATAAGGAGAGAGAGTATGAGATAGAACAATTAAATTATTAAAAAAAAGAGAAGTGGGAGGGAGAGAGAATATGAGTAGGAGACAAAATAAATAGGGGTAAAATAGGTAATCAATACAAAAAACTAGAGACAAATTTTAAATGTCTCTTATATATGAAAACATGCCATAAGCATCAAATGTCTCTTATAATAAAAAACGAAGGGAGTAGTGTAGAGGAGCATCTCTAGGCCTCAGCAAACCAGTCACACTCGCGTGAGGGGCGCGTGTTAAGAACTTGCAATGGCGGTGTCGTGAGGACGCGCACACCAATAGGACATCGAGTACTACTATAAGTGGGCAATATTGTAGAGTTGGCATCTCTCACGGCATCCGAATCATCGTCCTCGTCTTGCCACCTTTGGCTGGCCCCCACCCTTTGACATTTTGCCAAGTCAATCAAAAAGGCATCCCAATTTCCCCACCTTTTCACCAATTAAACAATTAAACCCTTTAAGAAAAACAAAATCTGAAACTTAAATAAAAAAAATTCTATCGAGAGTGTTTATCTCTAAATGGGTAGGTAGGATCTAATTAAAATAATAACTCTAAATATTATATGATTTGTTGCCAAAAACAAATTCACTTTCATTTCTCATATTTTATTATTTGATTTTTAAAAAAAACAAATCAAATTTTCTGGATATAAATAATTAACAATTACTCAAGTCAGCCAGTGCTCCACCACCATTCTTCTTGCTTCTTCCATTCCTTCTCTCTCTTTCTAAAGGCTTTTCCTTAACCCAAAAAGTCAGCGCCGTCCTTTGTGCATCTCTTTTCTTTCTGGGTTTTTGCTTCAAATTGGCCGAACACTCTCTGATTATGTGGGAATTTACAGATCTCTCTCAGTATTATTACTCTCTTTTGTTCTCCTCCTGCTAAATGGCCGAAGGCTGGGATCTCTCCGCCGTCGTCCGAGGTTGCAGATCCTCCTCCCCTTCCTCCGCCACTGCCGCCGCCAGCACCACTACTTCCATTACGACACCGTCGTCTTCTTCATCCAAGGACCTTTCTTTACCATTAATCAAGGAAGAAAATGACATCTTCTCTTTCCCCAGTTTGACACAACCCAGAACCAGTGGGTTCCAAGAACTACACCAATTGTTCAGACCCTTTATCCCCACCACCACCAAAACCACCACTATCTCTACTAGTGGTTGTGGCATATATCCCAATTCCTCTTTTACTGATTTTGCAGGCGAAGGGTCCAGTAGTTGTACCAATAATAATAATATAGATACTGCATCATCATCATCATCATCACTTGTTGCTTCTGGTTCTTATGCTTCTCATATTAGGCCTCATTTTATGCCTCAAGCCTCGCCCGCCTCCACTTCTTCTTCTTCTGGCTTTCAAAGATTCCATGACCAACATGTACAGCAACTCCAACAACAAACTCAAATTCAAAATCAACTACAATTAGTTCATCAGAAACAGCAATTTCAAACACCACCAAATCAGATCAGCGGTGGTAACAGTAATAATTCTGGTATGACTTTACCAAATACGCAAGCTGCTCAAGCAATCAGATCGAGAAAAAGGTATATGGAAATGGAATCTTCTTTATTTCAGCGTTTTATCTGTTTTACAAAGTTACACACACACGCGCGCGCGTGATCTTTGACTGTGTGATTGTTTGTGGCTAAAAATGGCGCATTTCTTTTATTTGCGTTTGTGTAATTCTGCAGAAAGAGTCAACAGAAAAGAATGGTTTGCCATGTAACAGCTGAAAACCTCACCGCAGATTCGTGGGCCTGGAGAAAATACGGCCAAAAGCCTATTAAAGGCTCCCCGTACCCACGGTATGAACATCTCTATTTTCTCGGTTTTCTCACAGTTTCTGTCGCTTTCTTGGGAAAACTGAATTTTTCTGGGCTGTGCCTGTTCTGACTTTGACGATGCATTGTGCTATTTATCGCAGGAACTACTATAGATGTAGCAGTTCAAAAGGTTGTGGGGCCCGGAAGCAAGTAGAACGGAGCAACACTGAACCAGATATGTTCATCGTCGCGTACACCGGAGAACACACGCATCCGAGACCCACCCATCGGAACTCGCTCGCCGGAAGTACTAGGAACAAACCGTCAACGACGACCCGTCAACCCGCCTCTCATGAATCTGGATCACCAAGCACGATCGCAAACCGGGCATCGTCATCTTCACAGCTTTCGCCGACGACGCCTTTAATGGCGGTGGCTACGAAAGACGAGTGCGCCGATGAACCCATGTTAAGCAATGAAGCCACTAGCCCTTTTCCAGAAGATGAGTTTGACTTGGCCTCTCATGATGACATTTTGATTCCGAACATGGCGGCCATGATGGATAAGTTCTTGCTGGGTGCTGGTGAGCTTCACAGCGCAATCGGACTTAGTGGCGGTGGGGGTACTAGCACAAGCGGCAATTCGGTGGATGGGTCGCACCAAAATGTTGAACCCGGCTTGGCTCCGAATCTACAACAGCAGTTCTCCCCTCTCAGCCGGTCTAGCCCTGGTTGAGCCAACCCGGTTCGGTGTTCGCCCTCACTGTTTCCGTGCACCATGGGAAACGACATCGTCTCAGTTACTTTCTAATTGGTTAGGTTAGAATCAACTGACATATAAATTTTTTTATATTTTGATTATCAGATTTTTAAAAAGGGTTATATCATCGATAAAATCTGATAAGAAAAATATAAAAAATTAGTTTTATATTGTAAGAGGAAAAGATTCTTACCAGAGATTTTGTACTAGACCTTTAGTTTTAGATGCCCAACAAACAGACCTTTAGTTTTAGTATTTACCGCTTCGTTAACGAAAGGTGAGTTTTGTAGTTGATTCTTGTCGTTTTAAGTGTTTCTTATTTGGGGCCAGGCTTGTCGTTTATTGAGTTTCCCTGTTGCCTCTTTGAAATCTTCTCATTATTGTCACGTGTGATGATGACCGCCCGATCATGATTTCCCATAAGTCACGTGTTTTTTTTTTTTCCGAATAAAGTTGTTAAGTGTTTTGTATATATTAATTAGATGAATAAATATTAACAGTCTGATATTACAAATAAACTAAACTCGAGCTCTCACTTACCAAAGGTGATCATTGTCGTTTAAGGGTTTTCACGGGACAGTCTTGTCGTTTATTGGGTTTTAATGTTACTTCTCGGAAATCTTCTTGATCGTTGACCGCCCGGTCATTATTTCACATAAGTCACGTGGGTGCTATTATTTTTTTTTCCACCTAAAAGTTATTAAGTATTTTTGACAAAAATTGAAATGGCTAACAATATCTGTTATAAAGAGAATTTAACCCACGATCTTACTAAAACAAAACTTGTAATACTATTGATAACAAAGTTGTTAAGTTGAATCATCCAGGTTGAAGTTGTTCGTTGAGAATATAATAACTCCTGAGCATCTGCCACGCTGGCATATAAATTTAAAATACCCGATTTAATAAGTGGAAGAAATTTCAAATGTGACTGTTGACAGGTCAAAAATTTAAATCCGAATAGTGCCAAAGTACACATATGATCAGGATAGTAATATAAAATAGAAACAATAATTGAGGGGGGAAAAAAAGAAATTCAAGAAAGAAGTTGGTGTGATGTGAGACACGGCATGGGGATGCTCATTTTGTGTCGATATGTGAGATAATTCAGTCTTGGGGGACGAGGTCAAATCTTTTTTATTTTTCGGTACAAGAGCCAGTCAAATATATATTATTTAAGGTAATTATTATAATTATTATATTATTCTGGTTATTTAGTTCTTCTATTAATTATCAATGGGGGTTTCTCTGTCTTTTTTAGTGAAAAGATCAAATATATTAAAATGATAATTTATACACCTACGGACGATGACTTGTAATCTAAGAAGCGAGAAGGCAATAAAACATTAGTTTTATATGAGGAATGACTCGAGGAAGATGTGAGTAGCGAATGAATATCATTTTGCAAGGTTTCCCTGAAATTTGAGTGAGTTAGGAGAACATTGAAGAAATTGCTCTTGTATGCCTGCATAAAAGTCAATGAAGCAAAGAAAGTAGAGACGATTTGAGTCACCCAATACAATATCAATCTCAAGAAAGAAATGCAAAAAAAAAAGAAAAGTGAGGATGATAAGAGTGTAGTATTCTTTGTCAAGAACTAATTTTTCTCATATAGACGTGGATAATTTATTCTTAACTTTAATTAAAAAATTCAAATTACAATAAAAGATAAATTATAAAAAAAGGCTCAATTTTATTTGAATTACAAAGATTTTTTTTTGGGTATCAAAAGAGGCAAAACGCTCAAATTAACAATTATTCAACGAAACAAGTCTCGGGCAAGTAGAGCTCATAGAATCTCTATACATTAACGTCTGCAATCTTCCGGGAGGCTCATTCAACCACTGTAAGCCAGAGTAAGAGAATCAGATTCTACTATAACCTTCCTGTAGTTCTTCTCGGCCAACAATAAAAAACCTAACCAAGCATCCCAAAGTTCTACTCAATTGCTGTACATTTTCCCAAATTATTCACAAAACCTCTTAACCATTTTCCCTTCTTGTTTCTGAGTAAACCACCACAGCCTACAAAACCAGATTGACCCTTAGCAACACCATCTATGTTCAACTTGACCCACCCAAGATCTGGAGGCTTCCATCCTATAGATCTCCAACCCTTCAAAACTCCTCCATCTCCTATCTAATAGGCTCCTTTCACTAAATCAACATACTTCCAAACAGTATTTATACAAATCCTGCTTACTTCAAAATCATCATCGAATAAAACTTTGTTTCCCCAGAACTAGAGAAACCAACATGTAATACCCAAAGCAATATTCCATTTGACACAATCATGTACCACAGCTTTACTACTTAGATTGCTTAACATCCAGTCATTAAGATTCATATCAAAGAAAACATGAGTGTCAAAACCTGAATATATCTATAGCCAAATTTTCCTTGCTTCCTCACAATCCCTTAGAGCATGTAAAACATTCTCTGAGTCCTTACAGCACCTGCAACAAATAGGGGAACCGAATCCTACTTTGAATATCCTTTCTAGTGTCAACAACCCATCAATTGTAGCGACCCATAGGAATGTCTGAATACATCGGGGCCCTCTCTATGTCCAAATCAATTTCCACAATCCATCACCTTCTTCCCTCTTAATTCCTGCTAACTAGTCATACATCTCAGCCACACTAAATCTCTGCCTTATAAGCCAATCCATTTAATTTTGTCTTTGCCATTCTCATCACAAGACGACAAGCAATCAGTGGTCAGTGCGAGAGCATCCCTACTTAAATATTCACTCAATCTCCCCACATCCCATCTACCATCAATCACGTATTCCACCACACTATTTTCCAGTTCAACCCTCCCAGGGATATTATCACACATGTCCAACACATTCATTCCCTTCCTTACCCAGCAACTTCCCTAGAACTTCACTTTTCTCCCATTGTTGATCTCCCAGCCTACATTTTTTGTTATTTCTAGCCACAAACGACCTACATTTTTCCAAAGCATAGGGTCAACATTTTTAACCACACAATTTTCTATCAAGTTCGCATTTCTGCCATACCTACTAATAAGCATGCTTGAGCTTACTTTATGGGAATTGGCAATCACGTCCCACCCAGTCTTGTGCAAAAAGGCATCATTCATTACTTTAAGCTCCTTCAAACCATAACCTCCCAACTCCTTTGGCTTACACATGGTCTTCCAACTAGTTGTGTGCAATTTCTGCCTCTCTCTTGACCCCCCCAAATGAAGTCACATTGCATCTTCTTAATTTCTTTACATACTCCAACTGGCATATCCTCATGAAGCATGTTAAAGATTAGTATTTGTTGTGTTACAGCTTGTATAAATGTCAATCTTCACGCAAAGGTCTGCACTTTATCAATTAAGAATTGGAATTTTCCCCTTGACCTCCTCCCATATGAGTTATGCGGCCCTAGGTATTTCCCCATCTCAGAAATTGCCTAGAACCCACAACCTTCAATAAGTTCCTGCTTTCTCTCCTCAGAAACATTTCTTGAAAACATTACAGTGGTTTTCTGGCTATTGTCCTTTTGCCCTGACATGACTCCAAACATCACCAAACATCTCATAACCACCTCTAATTGCTTTTTATCGGCTTCACAGAATAACAATAGGTCATTTCCAAAGAGGAGATGAGAAATTGGGTCCCTCTTCTTCCCATACGTATTGGTCTCCAATTCCCTTTCTCAACTTCACCAAAATGATACGTGTTAACTTCTCCATATCAAGCACAAACACGTAAGGTCATAGGGGATCCCCTTGTCTCACTCCCCTAGATGGAAACAAATTCTCAGATTTCTCTCCATTCCACAACAATTGAATAGAAACAATTTTAACGCAAGCGGAGATGACATTAATTAAAGTAGTAGGCAATTTAATCTCTTCCATTACCTTATGTAGAAAATCCCAGCTCATATGATCATAAGCAGGAAAGTATTATTGTAGCAAAGGAGGTGGCTCACTTTATGGGTAAGTTAGGAGGTGGTAAAGGGTATATGGTATTGAAGATTGACTTAGAGAAAGCTTATGAATTACATAGATTTTATTTACTTACAAAACAAGGTCTGTTTGCTTTTTTTTGCCATTAAAAATGTCTATATAGTTTTAGTAAAACTCAATGGAGGTTTATGTAATTCTTTTAGAAATTAGAAATATTCTTCGTCAACAAGGAAGAATAATAATATTCCTCATACATATATGTAATTTATTATTGACTTTAATCAAAACTGTTCAAATTAAATCTACTATCAGACTATACTACCTCCTTAATATAAGAGCTAGTTGATTAACTTAAAGTAGATTAAAAAAACTAATTAAGCTAGTTATTTATAATAAATAAGTATGTTTTTTTTAAATATCTTTGTTAATCAGGTATATTAATTAGAACTATCATTATTACAAGGACTGCCTTGAGAAAAAATGAATAAATATGAAAGACAATGTGGATTGAGAATCTTATATTTAGAACTAAAATAAAAGTCAAACGAGTTCCTATATTAAGGACCGGAGGTAGTATTTCATTATTTTGAAAGGATTTTTGGGGTATACTTTTTTCCTATTTGATTCACCATTTTATTCGTAATTAATTAGGTTTTTTTTTTATTTTTTGACAAAAAGTTATATTTTAATTTTGAAAAGATGAGACAAAAATAAAAATAGTTTATTAATATATCTTTTGAGCAAAAGCATATTAATATATCATACAAAAACAAAATAGATTGTCATTATAGATTCTTTTTATTATTTTTTGAATAAGGCTACGTGTACAATTTTGACATATATACCCTGAAAATGCCAGAGGTTTTTTCTAGTTTACATAAAAAAAAATAAAAAAATCATTTTCATTGGATGAGCGCTAAATCTAAACACGAATTTAATAGTGCGAGTGTGTAAAATGGAGGGATTTATTTAATGGTGAGTATAGATAGTACAAAAATGATGATGATGAGAAGCAATGTTGTCAAACTCGCGAGTTTAAGCAAACTCATAGTAATAATATAAACTCGGATCGTAAACTCGTAAGAGTTTACTTTTATTGATAAACTAGTATTAAAAGTGTATAATCAAATAATTAATATATAAACAATGACAACAATTTTATTTAAATATATTTTAAATTTAAATAATTGAAATTATATCCATCAATGTTCATAATTTATCATATTCAATAAAGAAATCTCTATAAAATCTTTACATAAAGTCCCTAAATATAATCAAATCCAAAAATTTAACACGAGTTTAACAGCGAGTTGACACGATTTTGTAAGCTAAAAACGTAAAATTAGTAAATTCAGTAAATAAACTCATAAGTTTAACCGAGTTTAAGAATGAATCAACACGATTTTATTAGTTAAAAACGTAAAAACATTAAACTCGGAGAGTCAACTTGCGAGTTTGACAACAATAACAAG